CGACGAAATATATATGCGCGTAATTAAACGTACGTTAAGCGTATCCTGTGCCTGATAATATTTAAAAATCATATTATTGACGTATTTCAGTGTATGCCAACGTACCTGGTGCTCGTTTAGCAGTGCTGCCGATAGCGTCAACTGCCGCAGCAACCAAAACGCGCGTGAACTGAAACTACAACGAAATCAAATCCCATAACAATCCTGCCTCAGCAATCCTCACCGCACATCAACAAACACTATCTTTGATAATCATATCAAGGTTCCCTCCTGGGATAATACATTTATTACCTTTTCAGTTGACATTTTTGAGGGAGGTTATATGATAGATTTTTTTCTCGCATTTCAACCCTGACCTCTAAGTGCCATCTCTTTCTACCAAAGGGGTTACAATGCAATTGCATGCTCATCCCGCTAATGTTTGAAATTTTCGTCCCCAATTATGCGTTTAATCGAGAATCTGAAGGAAAACTATAAACTTGTTTAGGGTCCATATTCCATGGTAAATTTGACAATGATGCAGAACAACGAGACCACAATGCAGGCTCATAAGGAAAGGAACGCGCTAATGACGGTCGAATAAAAGTTATTTGAGTGATGCAAACAAGAGTCAAGAAAGAGTCAAATTCTGACATTAACTCCATACAGCAAATGCCCTAGTCATACAAAAAAAAACTATTAATATATGATATTTATTTTGCTCTTCATTGAGCGAGCACATTAAAATGAATCCAACAGTCCACTGATTTTGTGGTCAGTGTAGATTTTTTTAATTAAATGGCAGTGTAAGTTTGAGGTCATAACAAGTCTACGGTCTCACCTCGTAACATTTGAGTAATATGTCTCTAAACAAATGTCGCTACATGCGCTGTACACTTTCTATGAGCTGTTCCTGATATTCAAATTGAATTTAGGTTCTGTAAATGCTTTTGGAGAAAAAGGGTTGGCAAGCGGCCAGAGTGCGATAGATGGAGGCTTTTACCTCTGTCAGGCTATGTCATTTTCTCCATGCTTTGTATTTAAATTTCTTCAATTTCTCCATGCTTTTCTCCTACCCTGTGCCATAAATTGTAGTCACTATACAAAAAGCTGTGCCCTGAACCAATTTCTGCACTCGATACCGCTGATATTGTATGCCGAAACACGGCTGCGCCTTCGAACTATAAGCGACAATTCAGTAATCTTGAATTAAAATTTACGCTACCCTTACATGCATGATTCAATTCTATTTATCTTATCTTTACTGTTGCAAAGACACGGCAGCACCCGATTACAAATTTTAATCTCAACAGAAGTACCGGTATTGTAAAATTGTAGCTCATCTGCAAACTTGAATTTGATGCCAAACGCCTAAATCTGAAGTTGCGGCGCAGAAAGCCTACAACGTAAAATGTTTAGCTCAGCCGCGCTGCCGCTCTCACTTCACTCAGCTTTAGGCAGCTGCAGCCGTGGAGGGCTGAAATTGAGCGTTTTTCCATGACTGCTATTGGGGCTGTCAGTGTTAGGGAGTGTTTTCTATTCACACCGGAGCGAGCGGGTAGAAGTTCAGATAGTTAACATGTCTAATTTCTATTCAATTTCTAAACATGGTCAGCTTTCTATTTAATGATCAAGTTTTGAGAATATACAAACCCAATGCTGTAGTCTTACTATAATAAAAAAAATTCAATGATTTTTATAAGCCAAAAAAGCTTATATAAATTGAATTAACCAAGGAAAACACCGAAAATTTATTTATGTTCTTAACATAATTCTGAAGAAAATTCTGTATTGTCGTGAAGTATTGCCTGGAAAGAAATCATTGGTAATAGGTACCAAATTCGTTGGGCTTCGCTGTCCCATCAATCTCTTCCCAATCGCTTCGCATTACCGTCATGTTAATGACCTGTTCAACCTCTGCTTCTCTCCTTCCATTGCCATTCACTTTTCAGATATTTTACTTAAAGTAATATTTGAGTAATATTAATAATATTAATATATTAATAAATTAATAGTATTAATAGTAAAAATTTGATGTATTTCGGTTTGAAAAATTTTGGCTACATGTTAACAGATCATTAAGTTTGTTGTTCACGCGTCAGTTTGTGGGTAGAGGCATGTTATTACTCATAACACAAATACACTAAAAAAATCCAGAAAACCGTGAATAAAGTTGCAGGAAACGTAAATTCCAAATACCTAATTTGGAACATTTAACGATATTATTATTTTTTACATTCTTTCAATCATAGTCAGCATATTTGACTCAATATTCTGTGTATGCTGCTGTTGAAGCATATTTGCCTGAAACATGCCTAAAATAAAGACCGTGCAAGTTGTATAGCCGTAAACGACAATTTTCCCTTACTGGTACATACAAATGAATTTTGAGTTCCCCGTACGATAGGAACATAAAATAAAATTTGTAATCTTAATTCTGGAAATGTTTTTGGAGAATAAGAGGCCAGAGCGTGGTCCAAGGCAAAATAAGAGGCAAGCGGCCGGAGCGTGATGGTTGGAGACTTTTATTTCTCTCAGACTATTACAGTCATTATTTCATATTTTGCATTTCAATTTCTTTCGCTGAATATTTCTTTCTGGCTCGACTTGTAAATGGAGTGTCCGTTTACGAATTACTTACTCACGGGCTGAAGAAGATAAAAGAGAAAGGGAACGTTTATTTTTTAAATACTCAAATTACTCCGGGGATACAAATTTACGCAAGTAGTGCTCTCATACACGGCCACTTACGCACACAAACACACACGCAATATTCACACGTGCATATAGATCCACACATGCACTCGATATATACACGAAAACACATACGTCAGCCTGTAGCGCTTCTCGCCAATCAATATCTCGGGAGCGGCGCCCCCGCTTCTCTGCTCTCTGCCGTCCCTCTCTGACCTTGGTTTTTCATCCCCTCTTGTCTCTTCATTCCCTCTCTTTCTCCCACTCTTTAGTCCACTTATCCGCACTTTTACCACAGTCCCTACTCTCCCTCGGTCGCCCTCACTCTCTATAGCTCTTGTGTCAGGTTTGACTTTCAGTTCAGCGACCTGCAGAAGTAACACTAGTTGCTTAATGATCTAGAACTTCATACCGTTTATTCGTGGAGATTTGCGTTCAATATATGAATCCGGAATTATTGACCAGATGAGGGTAATCAAGTTACTCTATTAATAACATTCAAGTGAAGTAAGTGAAGTTTATCACTCTATCAAAAATTGAAAATTGTCGCAACACGAAACGCTGGACCGGAGAGGGAGCGAATGCAGACGTCTCATTTTAAAAGAATCTTCTCAAGCTAAGGCATCACATGTTTTACTCTCGATTAACGTCTTAGAGCTTTTGCTTCTACGATCTTGATGATGTTCGGTCGGCGTTTTGCCTTTTTCAGCTCCTTCATTCGAGCGTATCCATTAGATACTGAAATGTGCGTCTTTTTTACCGTGGACTAACAATATTGTTCTACGCTTTCATACATTTTACTACAAAGTTGTTCATGTTGTATGTGTAATGTTTGGTTCAAGTAATATCAATTGATCGTTCGAAAAATTAACGTGTAAATTTTCTTTTGTTTTCCCAGATTGTGTGACTGAATCGCTCAAGCCTGCCTGACGTACGTGACCACCACCCTCTACTGTAGCTGTCGTACCGCCGCTGTGATATGCAACCGTGTCCTTCTGTCCTTTGACTTTTTAACACGCCTTATTATTACTATTATTATATTTACTGTAACATTGCTCGCGGAACTTTTATCTTCTTATCGACGTCACTAAACTGGCGACATTTATTAATACGATAGCGAAAATGTTTGCTTGGTCGCACCCTGAAGTGACCACAAGTTAGGAAATTCTATAAAATATCATCCCATGCTTGTACTTAAATTCAAAAAAATTATAAGACCTAAAACCTTGTGTTAAAAAAGAGTCACGTTTAGGCAAACCGTCTTTGCGGTTACGAAAAAACCGTCGCGCACTTTGCGTCACTCAAGCTTGAGAGTTGTGAGAGGACACCGACCACAGCCAGCAAGATGGGGCGGAAGAAGATACAAATCTCGCGCATTACAGATGAGCGAAACAGACAAGTAAGTCGCTTTAATATTCGGTGTTTTTTTAATGCTGTTTTACTAAATAATTTTTTCACGTAACTTGAAAGTACGGAAAGAACCATTCCGGCGTGCGTGCATCATACATCAATATTATCCGTTTTTAAGTCAAATGTACCGTCAAGTTAACGCATGTAATCTTCAACTCAATATTTTCCAGCTTTCAGACAGAAATTAAATTTTTAATGCTTCCCAAAAATTTTTCGTTTTATGTTTAGTTCATATATCCAATTTTCTTTATTATCTGACAACTTTTGATTTAATTGCATTCTTCGGTACAATATTTACTTATTTTATATTCCAGAAAAAACTTGCAAAGATTCTAATGGCATCTTCCAGGCTCCTTGCGACCCTGGTCCTGTAAGCGGTAAAGCACACAACCTGTGTTGCTCTATTGTTTGTGAATAACAAGCTTGCGGCTTTTGAAGAAAAAAAACTTCGAAATAATAAGAAAAAGTTTCTGTTCAAACAATTTGCGAGTTAGGTGAACAAAATAATAGTATTTCTTGCATTGAGTTTTTATTCATGTCCACTACATTCGTAAAATTTTTGCATTTTCCTTAGACTCGACTGAATACGTGTGTTTATACTATTAAAGGCATACCGGAATGGTTATTTTTGTTTTCAATAGTTTTAAGCGAAGAGTGCGTGTCCAATATTTTCGTTATTTATGCTGCTCATTACCTGGTTACCAAAATATCGAGGACGACACACAATCTCTTCCTGTATGAAACTTATGTGTTCAAATGGATCACTGAACTTTATTGTTCATTTCGTCTCCTTTACCGTTGAGGTAAGTCAGCCTCTATGCGTTCTGCTCTCAAGCACTAACAGTGAAGGTAAGAGATGCGGATGAAGAAAACAATTGTAAGAGATGCTACTGAGGCTGAAAACAATTTTCAAAAATTCTCTGGTTTCTTCGGTGTTCATTACTTGGCGTGCTTACGAGGCTCCAAAAATGATTGATAAGAATCACCTTAAGAGCTTTATAAAACAAATATATTTTTTTTTTAGATTTCTGTGAAAACAATTGTAGGAGATGCTACAGAGGCTGAAAACAATTGTCAACAATTCTCTGGTTTCTTCGGTGTTCTTTACACAGCGTGCTTTTGAGGCTCCAAAAATGATCGATAAGAATCACCTTAAGAGCTTTAAAATATATATATATATATATTTTTAGATTTCTGTGAGAACATATAAGAGATGCTACAGAGGCTGAAAACAATTGTCAACAATTCTCTGGTTTCTTCGGTTTTCATTACTTAGCGTGCTTACGAGGCTTGAAAATGATTGATAAGAATCACCTTGAGAGCAAAACAAATATATTTTTTAGATTTCTGTTTTTCACTGGAACCGCGGCGCTTCGATCAGGTTTTCCACTTCCCAGAGGCGGCGCTCTCTCCCCTCGCTTTTACGTGGAACTCTTTGGCTGCATTTTGCAGTTTTGCGAACAAAATCGATTATATTCTTTATTTCAACGTAAAAAATTATTTAATATATCTAGTTCGGCTTTGTGTACTTCGGAAAATATGCTCTATACATCAAGTTTCTTTTTACATTATTTCGGAAAATTTTCGACTTTCTGTTACTAATATGCAGGGATGATAAAATCGCTGTTCATCCTTTTTGTCTTGGATATTGGAAACTATACGATTTTTAATAACGTATAAAAACGTCTGAAAATACTTCAAACTGATACATTTTGGCGTTAAAATTTTGGCTCAACTTAGGTTAATTAATAAAAAGTACCGATGGCACAGGAAAATTTATGTGAGGCAGTCTTTCATTCAATTTTTTATTGGTTTTTAATAGTGAATTTAAATTCAGTTCAAATATGTCAGGGATTTAATCAATCTTCACCTATCAGGGATTAATCAATCTTTACCTATAATAATTTAAATGAATGAAAAAAGTCTTATTGAGAGATAATTCCAGCTTGAATCGGTCATGCCTGTGTTTTGTTGCAAAATGTCCCGTGGGAGACGCTGTCTATTATATTCATACATCGTTTATAAAGATAGGCACATATTTCTGCCGTAACTTTGCTGTTGTTCCAGGTGATCCCGATTATATACGTGGTAAAGGATGATCTAATTTAATATAAATTGCCGTTTAATGACAGATCTTCGTGGTTGAGCAGAGATTCACTTCTGTTTTGTTAAGATTCCTTCAGTTTGACAGGTTTATAGCGTTTGTTTGGGGTGACGCGTTCGCTGTTGCCGCTTTTTGTCAAAGAGGCCTGCTGTTTGATGACAAAGGTTGCCGTTGTTTGCTAACTGCGCCCCGCGGTGGTGATGAGCGTGTAGTGACGTCATACACAATGGACGGGTCTGCGCGGCTTGATGGTCAGCACGGTCTGATTGGATGGCGACCGCAGTTTACTTGACGATTTCTCGTGCCCGACCACAATTGTCCTCATTAAATGCACCACATGCCGTAATTTATAGCTTATTTCTTCATTACATTTGCTGGGACCAGTCCGTCTATAGCTAATTCTCCAGGAATACGGAAACGTTTTTGCTTGATTGTCCAGCTGAGGAACGAAGATGTTTAGTGCTTGTCATTTATATGACGCGCCGACGAGACGTAGTATATGTATATGTTGAGACGTAGAATATATTTCACGTTAGTGAATATCCCGGTATTACGAGTATAAAGTTCGAGGCTTCGAGACTGTTATTCCTTCTCTGGAATAGAATGCTAGCTTTCATTAGGTAGTGTTCTGGTGTGGTAGTTAATTGTCGTTTGGAGGTGTAAATTGCATAGGCTTAAATTCTAGACGAAAATACGAAAAGCCTTGCGAATTATGAGATGGAACTCGTTTCTTTTGCAGTTAATATTGTAATAAATACGGCAGGTACAATCTGAACGACCAAGCTTATTTCTACTGGATCATGTTTGGGTATAAGATACAGTTTTTGCTTCCGTGCTTGGCAGCCATCTTGCCCTGTTTATGAGGAACCCAGAGCCCCGCTAGCCCTTCATAAGCCAGCCCCGCCTCTCACGGAGAGGACCTTTGCCCATGCCGTCCTGTCATTAGCATGCATCACCGTGACCGTAATCAAAATCATGATTTAATTATTGCCGGCCCAGCTTTGGCCGCTCTCTGGCCACCGATAATCCGTCCAAGATTCGAGGGAATGAGAGCTGCAGCTCGACCTCCTCAATATTTCCTACTTTGTGTACGGCGATCGCCAGCGTTGGTTTGTGGGCGGTTTCCGGTAATCTCTTGATTGGTTGTTCTAATATGATCGCATGACTTCTTCTGAAAATCATTGTTATGCATGAAGGATCATTTGACACTACTCGATTCGACTTTCACGTTTCTCTCAGTTTCATCATCACGTTATATAGTGAATAGCAGAATTTCACTTCATCAAAGCTTCGTTTTCGCGTCGCCATCCGTCTAAGAACACATGATCGATTAGAAGTCCCATTACGGGCTCCCGTCGTAATTTGCATTTTTAAAGTGAAACTCGTTAATAATTCTCACTTGATTCGGTGTTGTTGATACGAGCGTTTTGTTTTTCTTGTCTTTAAATGTCAAGTTTAAGTCGCCTGAGCTCCTGACCTTCTCTCGACCACTGACATCTGGATGGTCCTTCGTTGGATGCACAGCATGGATGCATCGTCGGCCCTGACGTTTCAGTTTTTTCTATTATCCGCACGGTCAGCTTCTGGGGACAAATTAAGTATAATGAGTACTTTATCTGTAATCTCTAGGCGCCTAACTGTCGCTCGGCCGCCTCATTTAACATCGGGGAAAGAGCCATAGAAGCTGTTACTACTAGGAAGTATGTGATATTAACTTCAATATCTGATGAATATATTTATCATATATAATCATATATTCTTCAAACATATTGTCAAATATTATGAAATATATATTTGAGTTAATGTTTAGTGCAATTTATTCAGTCCGTAATTAGAAAGCATAAACGTACCAAATGGATGAAGCTATATGTATCGTATCTGTATAAGTTGATTTAAAAGCAATGTAAAAGTTTCGGTTGTGTGCAAACCTTTCAGTTGATATGCCTATGCAAAAACGAAATTCATAAGTTCCAAGCAGCGTCCTGAGCGAGTGCCCCACGCGTCGTCATTAATACATTATGTCAGCAGCTCTAAAGTTAACCTGGCACGTCTAAATGTGAACTCGGACGACCATTATAGCTTTGCTCTTTGTTCGTATGTGTTGTTGCTGGTCGAGCTGACGTCACAACTTCACTCTTGGCATTTGTCATTAGTGAGATCATCGTTGCAAAATTTGCCCCACTACTTGCGTCTTTACACTTCTCTGCTGGTGACTAACGGTTATTTTCACTGTTTGTTTGAGCGGTTAAGTCTTTCTTCTAATAGATTATGTTATTCAGATGTAATAATTATTAAACTAGAGCTTTTTTGTGTAAAAATGTACTGAAAAATGCCACATTTTCTCCTGAAAAAAAAAAAAAATAAAATAATTCCCGTTGCAAATAACATGCAAGCACTCATTTGCCCTCTTTTTTGTAGTTAATGACATATATTTATATTTTCCTGTTCCAATATTTTCTGTGAATTAAGGAGCTAATTTGCTGCTCGATTGAAGACCGGTTTGATAAGTTGATATTACCATGCACACTGGCTGCTATACTCGTGTGCCGTGTCTTGGCTGCTATACTCGTGTGCCGTGTCTTGGCTGCTATACTCGTGTGCCGTGTCTTGGCTGCTATACTCGTGTGCGGTGACTTGGCCTCTATATTGGTGTACCGTGCCCTAGTCACTACAATACAATACTATTTATTATACTCGTATTCGCTCGGATTCCCCATGTATTGCAAACAGTCAATGCGCGCTACTGCCTTGTTCACTGCATGCTTGGGTTACACCCTCAGCGCAATCGCCTAACATACTCAGCATAATTATTTCTAGAATTTGAATTTGTTATTATATTGTTACATGCCTTGCCACTGCAGGGTTTAGCTGGTCATGTTCCATATCAATTAATCGTGGCCATTAACTCACCAAGTGGGCGCTTTACGCTAGCGGATCATAAAAGATAACGCGTCTCAAGGTCGCTGCTCGGCAATTTATTCAAATGACCAGCTTCGTTAGGGCGGTCATGCCAAGGTCAAGGGATTTTCTGGCGAGCTTGTAAATGAACCTTTTGGTTGGTTATTATAATCACATCGCGTATACGGTGTTTATAATTTCATTGTTCATTCTATTGTTCTTACGCTGCGTGTAGTTTACTCGTACACAGTTCTGTGTACGTCGTAGGAGTGCTTGTGGCGTGCGTGTTGTGTGGCACGCGCTTGCGTGCCTGCTTGCAAATCTTGGGCGGCGTGTTTCATCGTCTCTTTGATAATTTACCAAGTGGAACTGGAGGCAAAGCATTCTAAATTTAAGCTCAACTATTACACAGGCAACTTTATGGCAGTTTTTGCGTCCCTTGCAGCGGCGCCAAATAAAAATTTTATTCGTAGTGTCTGAAGTGTCGAGACATAAAAGCAATAAAATTGTATTAAACTTCTCCCATCTTTACTTATTATTGCGAAAATAGTTGCGTGAAAGGCTTTCAAATTCGTTCTCTGTTGCGTATTCTGTTATCATACAGAAAAAATGAGTACAAAAATACTGTCTGGACGACTTTTATTTCGCGTCCGAAAACCCCGAAGTTGTTCGAAAAAGTGTCTTAGTATGATCACTCTAACTTTGTTGTCTATATAGGCATGCTCAGTTGGGTACAAGTTTTTAAGTATCACTTCAGCCGTTGCCTTGCTTACTTGAAGCTTCAATCGATTGCTAAACGTTAACACGATCTATGATTACGACCTGTAGTGCATTGCCGTGTATTTCGGAGCTCATCAAGCCAGGCTCTTATACTCAAACTTTATGCTGTCCATCAAACCTCTCTGCTCTGCCCACGTAAGCTCTCTTCATTACCGTCAATGCCACTAACTTCGCCACAGCGTTTATGTCGCTAACCTTCGCAAGAAACAATTTATTTCATTGGCAAAACTAAGCCACACCTTTATAGCGCAATCGAAACATTTTTTTAGTTTTATGTGGACGCCGAACACTACAATACAAATATGCCATAATACTGATCTACTAATTCTGACCGGTATATACGGTTTCTATTGACGCGCGGCGAGTTGAGTGCGTAGCTGCTGAGTGGCAACTTATGTGGCATAGACGCTAAAGTTAATTGAGATTAACTGATGACCGGGTTGGTGCTTTGTTTTCACCAATTGAGAGTCACTTCGCTCAAGTCAGAGTCTGTCATGTTCGTTTGAAGTAATGAGGTTGCTGCTGAAACGTCTCGAACAGTAATATTTTATTAGGCAGATCGATCATTAATTGTTGGTGTACAGAACAGCATTTTGAAGTTGTTGAGAAAGATAAAGCAATTTGAGTAAAAATTTATTCAAGGTCAAACTCTTATCATCCTGCGGTGTGATTTTAATATGTAGAATTTATTTTGAGTTCTTTTCATTAGAGAAATGCAGAAACGAAATTGAAAATAATCGCTTGATTTCATGTCTTCGTTGATGGTACTCTTCTCAATTACTAGCATTGAGGACATCATTTCTTGAAGTGTGTGTCTTAAACAGTAGAAATATTTTTATTCAGCTTAGATGGCACACGAACTAATTATAATGTCAAGTCATTTCGTATTGTGCTTGAACACTGAACAATAATTAAGGGAAAGATACGGTATCGCTCGGCTGGCTTGGATGCTCCTAGAGGTGAGTGAAAACTTTCCTAGAACTTCACCGTGGTCGTCTATTGTTACTACCTTCACTTCTAAGGTAAAATAAATACATTTTATGTGTTGATATTCCTCGCAGAATTTATACTTTATCGTGAATTGAAGAGTCGCGCTGAGACGCCCAATTAAAATGGCTGGCGTCCCTACAGTGACTGCCTCTTCTTACTTAATTCTTGCATGTCTCTCCAATTCTATTAGATTTATTTTTTGTTCTTTTCTACAGCTTGATAATCCACAAGTACGGTTGAATTATTAATCGATTTTAACTTTACAGAACAATCTCAAGTTTCTGCCGAGGTTCTCCAGTCGCTCAATGCTTCGCTCTTAGCAAATTTCATTCTAATTTTTCATAATGTGATCGTAACGTGTCATTTTCCTGTCATGAAATGTTTTGAATGTGAAGTTTTATTCCATTACTGTATGTCCTCTTTACTTCAATATGAACCATGCAACTAAGCTCCAGTAAATTTCCCTCAAATAGTATTTTCTCACAAATATACGTTTTCACCTGACGCCATATTGACGTCAGATAAAAACGCTACATAACCTGACACAAACGTCATTGATGAAATTGACTTGTTTCCATGCAGGTCACGTTCAACAAGCGCAAGTTCGGCGTCATGAAGAAGGCTTACGAGCTTTCGGTGTTGTGCGACTGTGAGATCGCTTTAATTATATTCTCCTCCAGCAACAAACTTTATCAGTACGCCTCTACCGACATGGACAAGGTGCTGCTCAAGTACACTGAGTACAACGAGCCTCACGAATCTCTCACCAACAAAAATATCATCGAGGTGACGACCTCTTCTTTTGAGGTGTTCTCGGTGCTCACCTTTAAATCAATGTTTGCTAACGTAACCTTCTAATCGAACTTGATTCACTCTTTGCATTCGTTCCGTGTCGCAAGCCTTTGAGCGTTTAATACGTAGAGTATTGTCTGATCGAAATATATCAGCCTTTGTGATTTAGATATCACAATACACTTAAGAATGATTAATATTTTTATATATTTAACGTGTCCGTGGCTACGACGTGTATAGAGTGAGCCAAGTTCTTGCGTGTTTCAGTAATTCTTAGATCTTGATTGGTTGTCGCTTAACCTCGAACGGTTCCACCGCGTAAATTGTTCGTCAAGACGCCATTATTCCAGAAGCTCCAGTTTTGGTAAACAGTTTCATCAAACTTTTAATTTTTGTTTCTTTTGCTTTCAGATACTACGTGTATGTTCCTGTGTTATATAATTTCGTTTGTTTGTCTGTGTGTCGTGCCTCCGTGTCTAGGTGTTTCTACAGTAGCAGAATAACTAACATCTTCGTTATAATCACCATACAAAGCATCCTTTAAACATTACCAGACGACATTTCTCTTCACGATCATTGTTTACTGACCGACCTTCATTATTGATCTGCATTATTGTTCATTTCATGGAACCGAGATTAGTTTGGACCTGGAACTCTATTCACTTAATTCTATAGTAGTAATTTCAGATTAAAAAATTTTTCTGTCGGTCGCTTTGAATAGGAACTCTCTCATAGATTTTTATTATCTGTACAAATGATCAGCCTTCTTTTCAAAAATTGTAAAGCGGATCTGTTGGATCAATCAATACCATGTGATGGTATAGAACATTGGTTGGTACGGTACCTTAATAATGATGGAGGAGAAATGTCACATGAAAATATGCCGTTATTGTTTTCAGTTGCTGTTGTTGCTGCCTCTCATTTGAATACGTATTCCTAATAACATTTCTTTTCCTTACTGTTTTAGTTTGCTTGTTAATGTGTGCCATTTGTTGTGTTTGTGTTTGCTAACAGCGAGGCGTGTTTGTCTCTGCAGGTAACATTCACCAAACGCAAATTTGGACTCATGAAAAAAGCGTACGAGCTGTCGGTGTTGTGCAATTGCGAGATAGCCCTCATCATCTTTAACTCGAGCAACAAACTCTTCCAGTACGCGTCAACGGATATGGATAAAGTCCTACTAAAGTATACTGAATACAACGAACCTCATGAATCCCGCACCAACAATGACATTGTCGAGGTAACAAAAAGGCTCGTCTGTACTTCAAATATGTTTGACTCCTACATAACTGCAAGGAAAGTCGATGGTTGACACTTGAATGAATCCTTCTTGCTACGGATTTAAATGAAACCTCTGTTCAAAAGTCATTGGCAAATTCATTTGTGATGAATATACAGCGATCATAACTACCTCCAGTCAGAAACTGCCATTCTGAGTTGATAAATTCATGTTTTCACCAATACAAGGCAGAGATAGCGGAGTAAATGAAACGAGTTCAACTTGCGTATCATCAATGCACGCTGCAGCCTCAGCTCAGTCCTGCGAATTGCTCATTTCTTATAAGCTACTTCTGCCAGTAATATAAATTGCGTTCTTTTATCTACAATTCCTATTCGGTTCTGAACAATCTGGTGGTATTCAACTAAATAACTTATTTAAACGAAAGAGAATATATATTTTATCCATGAAATGACGAAACTTCGAAATTTCAATATATTTAGTGTGATACTAAATCAAAAATGAGTCGAAAGGTGTTGAGTCAGGTTAACAAATTTCTTAGATCATTTACAAATTATGATTATTTGTCTTTAAAAACAAATTATGTTCAATTTTGTTTCAATAAAATATTATTACGTTAGATTAGGTAAAACAAGTGAGTGACATTTTTTTCAATGATCTAGAATGTTCAGCCACGATGCAGTTTGTCTTAATCTTTTTAATAATATTTACGGTAATTCATATCCATTAGTTGTTTTGTGGCGTGTTTGTTGATGACCTCGAATCAGTTAGTGACTTGTGCTTACGAATAATGTCCAAGTTTGAGTACGTAGTAATCGATGTCTTGTTGTATTTGATGTCCTAGCAACGTGCATGTGTAGCTTGAATAAACAGCTTTTTTGGTGTTGTAAACTTTACGAATGTTTGACGTGCATTCATGAGCCAAACCATTCCTGCAAAGCCATCACGGAAGATCTGAGATGATGGCTGCAAGAACGTTTGAAAAACGCTCATAATGAACGTTTTTCAAAATGATATCCATGATAGTTTATTTAAATGAATGAGGACTTTCTGAGTATTTTATATTTAATCAAGATGGAGGTGTTATATTTGTTTAGTTCAAGAAAACTTCAAATGCGCTTTCTGTTTTTTTTTTGGAAATTGAAGCCCTGCAACAATTAACTTGCTATATAATCATTCATAAAAACGTGATTAGTTATTCGTAAAAGAAATAATCAAGTCAGCAAAGGCCATAGTGGTTCTAAGGAACGAAATATATTGACGTATTTTGTATCTGATGCTTAAACACTTGAGTGCTCAGAGGATGCACGCCTGATGTTCATAATACAACTTCGAACATTCAAATAACAGTGTGGGTCAAATATGAATACATGTTCAATCCACTGGACATAAGCGATTAGATTAGCCATTTTTTGATGAATACCAAAACATTCCACGTTGTTTCGAGACAATAAAGAGATGATAAATATTACTGAGATTGTCGGAATTCATGTAATAATAGAACATGTTATAATAACCAAGCATTATTTCATCATGGCCATAATTGTTCGGTACATTCCAGGCGAAAATGGTGCATCCATTCAGACTAGTATTCACAACAGCTAAATAACGTCTGCAATATTGGCTCATAATTGGTAGAAATGAGTTGCTTCACGAAATAGCTTTCCCAAATTGATAATTTGTAAAGTTTAACACATTGAACCTAATGGATGAATTCTTGACATCTTAACTTCATCCTTGCTTATAAAGTCAGACCATCCGTAGATCTTTCAGAATGGCTAAACCGTCTCTGTACGCGAAGACGTTAATTCACGCTCAATTTGTTTCATAAATGAAAATAAATACTATTTTATCACATAATTTTTCGATACTTTATCTTAATATTTGTTGTTATTCATCTCGGACTATTAGCACTTATTCATACATGGTAATTGTACTTATGGACAACATGATTTGATCCTGTTTCTCATGGTCATATAAAAGCTGCTAATTCCCGCCCTCTCATTAGGCGCTCAATAAGAAGGAGCACAAGAACGGCCTACAGTCCCCAGACTCCCCAGACAACGAGGCAGACTACAGTCTCACGCCTCGCACTGAGGCAAAATATGACCAGATTGATGAAGAGTTCACCATCATGATGCAGCGATCACAGATCAACGGTGCTAGGGTGAGCTTAGCGTGATGCAGCTTAGCGTGAGTGTTGTAGCGTGCTGCAGCTTAGCGTGAGTGTTGTAGCGTGCTGCAGCTATAGCGTACTGCAGCTTAGCGTGAGTGTTGTAGCGTGCTGCAGCTATAGCGTACTGCAGCTTAGCGTGAGTGTTGTAGCTGTCTCTTATACACATCTAGATGTGTATAAGAGACAGCTATACTCATGTGCCGTGTCTTGGCTGCTCTACTCGTGTGCGGTGTCTTGGCTGCTATACTCGTGTGCCGTGTCTTGGCTGCTATACTCGTGTGCCGTGTCTTGGCTGCTATACTCGTGTGCCGTGTCTTGGCTGCTATACTCGTGTGCCGTGTCTTGGCTGCTATACTCGTGTGCCGTGTCTTGGCTGCTATACTCGTGTGCCGTGTCTTGGCTGCTATACTCGTGTGCCGTGTCTTGGCTGCTATACTCGTGTGCCGTGTCTTGGCTGCTATACTCGTGTGCCGTGTCTTGGCTGCTATACTCGTGTGCCGTGTCTTGGCTGCTATACTCGTGTGCCGTGTCTTGGCTGCTATACTCGTGTGCCGTGTCTTGGCTGCTATACTCGTGTGCCGTGTCTTGGCTGCTATACTCGTGTGCCGTGTCTTGGCTGCTATACTCGTGTGCCGTGTCTTGGCTGCTATACTCGTGTGCCGTGTCTTGGCTGCTATACTCGTGTGCCGTGTCTTGGCTGCTATACTCGTGTGCCGTGTCTTGGCTGCTATACTCGTGTGCCGTGTCTTGGCTGCTATACTCGTGTGCCGTGTCTTGGCTGCTATACTCGTGTGCCGTGTCTTGGCTGCTATACTCGTGTGCCGTGTCTTGGCTGCTATACTCGTGTGCCGTGTCTTGGCTGCTATACTCGTGTGCCGTGTCTTGGCTGCTATACTCGTGTGCCGTGTCTTGGCTGCTATACTCGTGTGCCGTGTCTTGGCTGCTATACTCGTGTGCCGTGTCTTGGCTGCTATACTNCGGGGTCTGGGTCTGTTAGAACACAAGACATCAGGCGGGGTCTGGGTCTGTTAGAACACAAGACATCAGGCGGGGTCTGGGTCTGTTAGAACACAAGACATCAGCTGGGGTCTGGGTCTGTTAGAACACAAGACATCAGGCGGTCTGGGTCTGTAACGTCTCAAATAATTTTTTTACAATTTGAGGTCGAAAACTTTGAAATGATTCTAGAATTAAAATTTATTTGTGCATAAAATATATATAAATCCTGATGTGGATGTTACACAAGCATCAAAAATATCATTAGCGTTATTGATTTATTTACTGAATGACATACGTAAATCTTATTCTGCAATGATAAAATAATAAATCTCTTTCTGCAATGATGAAATAATAGAAATATTCCTGTTATTCAACTGTGCGTATGTTTACAGGAATGTTAGACATGAACGCCGCGTCTAACGGGTACCCAGGCTCCACGTCCCCCTTGCCCTCAGGGGGCGCGTCATCCCCTGGTCTGCTCGCTCGTGCCCACACCTCCAAACAACAGCAACATCAGTCCCCTACAGGTCCCCACCTCAGGGTCCTTATCTCCAACTCCCAACACGCGGTCAGTGGCTTCTTCTCGTCCTGAAGTAATTCAATTTCAGGCAAAAAATTTCAATTTCAGGCAAAAATTTCAATTTCAGGCAAAAATTTCAATTTCAGGCAAAAAATTAAAAAATCAATTTCTCAAAACTTCCCTCTGTATTTTTTTCAGAGAAGAAGGCGTGGTAAAATGTAAAAAAATGGATCGAATATTATTCATTTCGCTTCTTGTTGGCTGGAAAAAGCTTTCTGGTTTCTCTGTTTTGATTTTCTGTAGTAAAATTCTTACACGACGTTAGTTACAGACAAAAAAAGAAAAGGAATTACTATTACAGGTTGATTTTTCCAAAGCGTTTAATTTTTATTTTACGGGCAAATATTGAAGCGACACTGGATTGGTTTAGAGAACTTAAACGTAAACGTTACTGCCAAACGTAATGAAACTGCTACTGGGAAATGAAATAGAAGCGAACCCATGGCCATACGTCACATTATGGCGATGCAGTTTGTGCGTGTAACTGCGTATTATTCCTTGGAGTCTGTCAAAGTACTATAGCACTTGGAATACATTAATATTTCCCAAGTAATTGCAAATGTACTCCAAAATACTTCACATACAATCAGATGTCGCGGATAGGATCTTTTTACTTTACCCGCTCTTTGCTTAAAATTTTATTCGTCTAACAAAAAGAGCTCCTTTTCTAGAATCAAGAGCTCTTTTATAGCTCCATGATTCTTATTTTTTTGTAAATGTTTATGTTTATATGCACGCCTACGAGCTTGACGATTTCATCTTAATTGCAACTTCTTTGTGAAGTTATTATCCTTACATGGCCCTACATTATTATGCCTGTATTATTTTCTGTCCAACATTCACCGCCATATGAGATTTGTAATTAAAAACCCGACGTGAATTATTACACGATGAAATACGTATTGCCTGCTCGTTTTTAAGTTCGTTTTTGTTGAAAACAATTGATGCAATGTATGAGTGTAAAACAACTCTTGCAATGTACGAGTGTGAAACAACTGTTGCAATGTATGAGTGTAAAACAACTATTGAGTCTTTCGCACTATATTATTAAAGTTTAATAACATTAATATTGTTGCAGGGAGCGTCATCCACCCCTGGCGGTGGAGGAGGGGGAGGTCAGGTCAGTCAACAGATGAGTTATTCCTCCCTCAACAACTTCCAGCCTCAGGAGTTCCTCAACGCTGACCTCGCACTCAACATCAACTCCTTGCAGCAAGTGAGCTCACCTTAAGTGTAGAGTAAGGATGTCAGTGTTTTTTAGACCTGTTGCCGATTCTTAACATCGTAGGATATTCTCAGCTTGTTGCGGTCTCGAACAAGCAAATCACTGCTTAGATTTTTCTGTTCTCGAAAGCGCGGCCTTCTCGCCGATTAAACCAGAAAACTGTAGTAGGTAGCTGGGCTCAAACCCACAACTCGCTGCTCCAGTTTTGGTACTCTGAACTGTAACCACTGGGCCACCCTGCTCATATTAATTGTGCTGAATGGCTGCTGAAAGAATAGCTAAGATCATCGTGCACGTGCTATGAAAGGAACCTGCGTTGCCAAAAAACGTTTAACTTCCAGGTCGGTGCCAAAAAAAAAACAATGGCTCAACAATTTAATTTTCGTGCTTTTTCACGATAACGACAAGCTGCAGCTGCAAGAGTGGTCGCGATGAAATATTGTAAACTAATTTTATTACTCATGTGCATCCGCTGCACGTTTTCTCTAGCAAAAATCCGACCCAAAAAAAATTCGTTCGACATTTTGTTCAAACTTTTAAAATGAAAAAAACGCATGTTACAGTGATGTTCATTTATTGATATCAAGTATAATTATTGTAAGTATAAATTATTTAATTCAAGCCTATTGATATTGTCTTTACTTAGTTAAATAACCATTGTTTTTTAATTTTAATTATCGTCAAAATTAAAATCGAAGCAAACAAACGAAAAAATGACTGAAAGAATAATTGATTCTTGTTTAAAAAGTAACTGAAGAACATTTTACATCTCTTTTCGCCGTCTTAGTTATACGGTCGAATTTTTTATGCTGATTACAAATAAAAATATTTCAAATTCCCTTAAAGTGAAAAGCATTTATTTCACAGCACTGGAACCCCGGAGTGCTACAGCAAGGCTTGGGCAGCATGATATCGTCGAACCTTCCCCAACTGAGTATCTCAAGCTCTTCGCCTCCTCCCACTTCTTCCCCACCTGTCAGAATAAAAGCTGAACCCATCAGTCCCCCTCGTAGTGAACCCCACCATAACAACAGCAACAACCACCACCACCACAACAACAGCACTAATAACGTCAGTCAACAACAGCTTTTAACGCGGCCATCTAACAACGATACCGGACACTTGTCTCCACTACCGCAGCAACAACAGCAACAACATTTGTCACATCATCAACTGCAACAACACCAACAGCAGTTGCAGCACCATCAACAACAACAGCAGCATCCACAGCATCATCATCATCAGGCACTATTTCCTCATCACGATGCTGGTTAGTTCGATTTTCATCACAGCGCCGTTCCTATGCTGGTAGATTTATTTATTCAAAATTCAGTCAATTTTTTATCTTCCATTTACTATTTCTTTATTTCTCAGGTCATGTTGCCGTCATTTAATAATACTCTATTAATAACTATATCTTCTATTAATTGCTATGAACTAACGTCATATATTCCCCGTCGCTAAAAATCTACATTATTCTTTCACATAACAAAACAATCCTTCTGATTTGCAGGGCTACTGCGAATAATGCTCACGTTTTCTCTATATTGAGCCGCACTGTTTCTTACAATATTAATTCAATTACCTGTCAATTAGCTTTATAATAATTTTCAATTGGCTCGTCTTAAACTTGGTTTACCTGGAACGTCCACTCATGAGAGCCTAGCACTTTCTGTGAAAATTCTGTGAAATGTAGCGCAACGAACAAACTTGGTTGGCCTGCGGTGTCATTTAATGTTAAGTTCGTAAGTCCTGGAATATAAAATAGATTGTTGTGAACTTCAGTGCAGTGTGTGGCTTGTAAGGGCTTAAGCTTTATAACACTCCGGGCGCTCAACGTTCACGTTCTTCTGTAATTCATTTTTTATCAATAATTTTATTGTATAACTTTTCATATTTTTGTTCAACAGCAGCACGTTTACCTCATTTGATCAACCCGATACTATTTTTGCATCGCAATAAAGTAACTAAGCAATACATTTAACTTCAATCCTAATGTTCGTATACATGAAAGTTTCCGCTATAGCGGGAAGCGCCTCCTTATAAGGAGGCACTGCATGCGGTTTGGGCTCAAAAATTCTGGTGCCAAAAATGCCGAAGGAAAGGACTTTGACTGTACCAGCATCATTTAATGGCGTTAATTTTAATTGATCTCTACAAACTATCGTTGATATCCCTTGCATAATTAAATAATTTATCTATATTACCAAGACTTGATGACGTGCAGGTCACCTGACGCCTTCGTCACACTCGTCTCCTGAGCCGCTCGGGTCGCACACTCTGGACTACGAATCGTCGCCGCTGAGCAAGAAACCTCGTCTCAACGACGGCTGGTCCACTTAGTGCCGGTCCCAGGCACTCACTCTTGCACTCACCTACACCACGTCACTCTAACAGTGAACTCCACGTCACTCTAACAGTGAACTCCACGTCACTCTAACAGTGAACTCCACGTCACTGGTACTAGTGACGTGGACTCAATATGGACTCAACAGTGAACTCAATACCCAGAGGTTACTCACTGAATTATTCACTGACGGATGAATTTTCGTTACAGGGATATCACAAAAAAATTAAGTCGTGCGAGTATTTGTTGCGAGAATAAGGCGACGTAGGACCACAATACACAATCACGCTACTTTCCTACAGATCCTTCGTCACGGTATTAATGTTATTCGTTATAATTGACCAGCGAAATTCCGACATGGCGAGCGTTTATGTCATAATAATCTTTGTGAACTTGTGAAGAAATTGTGGAACTCAATTTATTTCGGAAGCGTCGACGGGCACTTTGACTCACGAATCATCAATTTTTGATTCGGCCCCTGCAAAGGATGCTGATTTCAAGCAGATAAACGTGGAAGTTTTTCTTTTCAAAGTGGTACCAAAATCTTGTCTAACTCGTTACATTGGTGAGCGCTGTTGAAAGTGACAAGATCTTGTGACTTATTTTAGGCGAATAGCTTTAATGAAAACACTGGAAAATGTCTTTATGATGAATCATGAACGTAACTGTGACGGCTTCTAACTACGACGTCACTCAACAAGCTGGCCTGAAGCCTCTTCTGTACAAAAAGCTCACCAGTCAACACACTCGTGCCCAAACTCTACGTAGGACCACGTACAGATTTTTCCACGATTGAATCCGCCCTGAAGTTTTTACGTGAATCCGATAACTCTCAGTAGATAGCAAAGGAGGCAATATATTGAGCTGCTAACTGGTTTAAGAGTGTGAAGGGTAGCCCCTTCACCCTCTTAAGGGTAGCCTTAGTTTGTTAATCAATTCACGGCGTTTTAGGGATAGTTTAACCGAAGAGTCCGGCAAGGAAGGGTTGAGATATACGCGCGTCCGGAGCATTTCTGTCGTGTTTATTGATGTTTGTGTTCTGTATAGAAAGTCAGTGTACAACTACGGTTCCTTTCAATGTTTGGTGAGTGTCAATTCGAAGAAAATTAGTGTACCTCCAACACGTGAAATCGATGTGTTTTTGTGTTCACGAGACTCCCGATATATTTCGGGGAATTTCCTGTCACATGCATTCTCTTGACAGCCTAGCAAATTTTATCTAAAGCTTTTAAATTAAAAAATGATAAATAGTATAACTAAATTGCTTCACTATATTGATTAGAACTCATTTTCAAATGAACGCTATGCTATAACAGAATAGATTTTTGTGAAAGTTTGTTACAAATTTAAAATTTATGATTAGCACTTAGCCAAGTTCATATATTCTATGGTCGAATTGTTTCTATTTAATGAAAGTTATATTGTCCATTAGGCTACTAATAAATGAAACTACGGCTAAATAAAGTATCCACATTATAAGCAATGCATACTACATATCGAAACACCAACTGTCATTACGAATCCTACCGTCAACTGTGAAAATCTTGGCGTGGTTTTGCTGGTTGTTTTGCGATAGGTTCTTGTAAAAAATTGTTGTTCGACGTTGATATATTGTCATAGCTTAAAAATTTGCCGGGAACGATTCAATTTTGTTCTTTTTTTCATAGAATATTGAGGAAAGTTCACATCGGCTGAGTCGAGATTTCTCGCCCTCATCTTGAGTTGAAAAGCATCGAAATTTTCTTATTATATTATCGATATAATTTTCCTTAACAAAAACGACTTGAAGTGTCATATGAGTTGGCATTATTAGTTAACTGCTCAGTGCTGATTTCTGGTAGAATTTTAATGACATTTTTTAAGTTTTACGATGACAAGCCAACGTGATTGCCGCGCGAGTGAAAGTCCATGCAGAAGCTTTTAAGGCCGCCTGTGCCTCTTCATGTAATGAGATATTCTACGTATATATTTTATGAGATAGAAGAGCTATTCTATTAAGACGAGTGCCATGTGTCCTTCCTTGTCCGCTTCCGTAGTACAATTCAATAACAAATCTGGATGACGTAACGTAGGGTTTTGGTTTGTAGAGAAATAAATTTCGTCCTGACCAGGTCGCAGAGTTCGTTACTGCAACTACAGGTTCCTGCTCGTGCAGGTTCCTGCTCGTGCAGGTTACTGCTTGGGCAGGGACCTATTCGTGCAGGTTACTGCTCGTTCATGTTCAGGTCTCAGAGGCGCACTCAGACGTTTCTCAAATAAATTTACTTTATCAGGTATAAATGAATGTGTAATCTTAATTCAATGAAAGTGAATTAATTAACGCTGATAGTTTCGTGCAGTTATCCCTTGATATAAAAACATAGAATTTTCTGCGTACGAGCGGCAAGCTTCCGTACGAATCCATTTATCGAAACAATTTGAGTGTCGGTCTTTGTAACGAACCGAGGACATTCATTCGTGTTATCAAGAGAGATTTGTTCGCCATTGTGCAAAGCAAAAAAAAATTGATTGCAGTTTCGCCTGTACCTTTAACTTGAGACGAGTGCGCCTGTAGTGACTTAATGTCTATTATTAAGATAAGTAAATTTACAGAAGGTAAGGTCAGTCTGCTCATTGAAGTTTCGCGGTTGTCAATCATAAAGGTTGTTACCAAAAGCACAGCCTGGTCCTGGCGCCCATATAAGAATTAAATTTCATGGAAAATACGCCCCTACATCCTCCAGTGGTCTACGTCCTCTGTTACTTTTGATATGTAAAAAAATCAATATATTTATCCTAGTCTTTTACGTGTAAGATGGTCTTTAGCTCTCCTAGAGAATACCTCACATGTGGCCTATGCGTTTTGCTTGCTTGCTTCGATAGCTCAATGTACATACTAAGCCTACACGATACTATAGCATAGTCTTGCCTCAACCAGAGGGACGATCTAACTTCTATTAATCTCCAGAGACAAGAGTTTTGTACATAAATGTGACTGATTTCTTGATATGGAGGCCGCTACTGTTTCTAATGATGTTTATAGCTCTGAAGCTGTTATTTTTGATGCTGGCACTGTACAGAGAACTAAGATATGGTTTAGTAATAGATATTGTTTAAGTAACCGGCACTTCCTAAAGCTCGTCCCCGCCATATCCATCTTCTTTTGTGAAGAGCTTTCTATTTCGACCACGAGAGTGACCTGTAAATCCTACTCATATATTTGGTGGACTAATGTCCAGTTGTCAATTAACTCCTGAAACTCATCAGGATATTCTTGTTTGTCTCTGCCCTGATCTTTAAAAATCGTGGCACGAATTTTGTCAACGTAATTCATTTACGTTAATAAACCAGCGCGCGCTTCTAAAATGCTTTCGTGGGATTGAAACCACAGTAAACATTTCCATAAAACTTCAGACTCTTTTTCATTTCCGGCACTTGCCCGCCTAACCATTCGGCACAAAATTTTTTCCCTATTGTTCGAGGGTGAAATCGGTCAAGAGGGTTTCGGCAGAGCGCGATCACATTGATACGTCACGGCAGTGACATTGATAACATAGTTATGTCATCTAGAAGGATCGAAAGCAGTTTTAGATTTACTAGTGAATGTTTCTTATGATACAATCCAATCAATTGCCTTTTCACCTTATGTGTCGGGAAGGAACACGTTCATTCTTCTGAAGCATATGAATCCAATGAGTATAATGGCTATCAGTAAAGCAGATTCATCCTGATGAACCTGCGTAAAAAATAAATAGAATACAATTTTCTTCCAAATTTTAGCATTGGCTTCATTTATCTAATTTGATCGCCGTTAGGAAGGTAGTAGTCTGAGGCAGGAACCGTCGTGCGCTGAGCGACCATTTCTGAGGCGCATGCAGGAGAGGGAATGCACTTTATGTTTTTTTTCTGTTGCCACAAAAACTATAACCACAGAAAAAACTTGGCCGCCATGTTTTTATCTGTAATCTACTTATACGAATATGCTGAGCCACCGTATTTCTGGTAGAACTTAGTTTACGTTCGGTGCAGTAATGCCATATACGTTCGATAATTAAAAGAGAAGTTAAATAACCACTTATTGTCCAATGTCCGATAAATGGAGAAATAAAAATTGTTTACAGCAGTGGAGGAGCAATAGTTGTTTATTATTGGAGTGTGTGTTTTCCTTTGCTTCTTACGCTTCTTGAATGAGGCTTATGGAGTTCCCTGTTCATGTTAATTCATATTATAAAAAAATTCCGGTCTGCATCCTAAGAATGGCTGATGGATTTTATGTGTAGCAACTGTAATTTTCGTTCGGTGTCTTTGACGCTGCGGAGGAAGGCGTTGTCGTCTACTGCATAATTCGTTACAAGAAATGAGGGACTAAAGAAATGAAATCTTTTCGCGTTGACTGCACGCACTTGTGTGCAAGTTTGTGGATTAGTTTTCTCACATTTGTAAATATGTGTAAAACAGTACAAAAGTGTTGCTTATCCTGGTTTCTTTATCAATTGCTTATCTTTATTTTTGGTTCATGATGATCATGTAATTATTGACCGTTGTTCCTGAGAATATTCGTGATCGTACATCAGTTCTAAAGAATTTACTTCTTGGCTTCCGAATAGAAGCTGAACGTTGAATCGTTTTAGTAAAGAAATTAGATATTAATTAATTTCTTACTTAAATGATTCGTTCACAAGGCAAGCAATAACTGAAACGATATACTGTAATTACGACAAAATTTGTCTGGCCGATGACCAGAATATGGGTAGTTAGTCAACGCAAGCGAAGGCATTTAATTTGTATTTAAAACATNCGATATAGCTTAGACAAAATTTGTCTGGCCGATGACCAGAATACGGGTAGTTAGTCAACGCAAGCGAAGGCATTTAATTTGTATTTAAAACATTGAGGGCTGTAGAACTGCAGTCAAACTAACGGTGACTAAACTACCCTTCATCGCTATAGCAGGTTTTAGCTTGAAATTGTTAGTGTGGCGGTGCGTTATGTGATAAGTTATTAGGCGTACGTCAGTATATTTAATAAAGGAGATCAAATTTGTTCGCCTATTATTGGCATCAATTCATACAAGCTAATTTAGTTGAATTTGTGCGGGAAAAGACATCAAATAGACGCGTAATCTATTCAACAAAGCGATCATGAAATAATAATAATAATTGATGGGAAATTAATATTATTAAGTAATGATTGGTATGCAACTTAGTTAATCTGCTATATGTCCTATACAAATAGCGATGCATATATCAAGTCTGAAGGATTTGAATAACATTCATATAAGCAATTGGATGTACCGAACATTCGTACAAACCATAAGATTAGGAAAACATCTATCTAACCTACATGCCGGTGAGCAACCATTCTACATATGCGACTTTACTAACATTTATAGCGCGTGGAAGGCAAGACGAGCACATGCACAAAATTAACGACTTGGTGAGCAGACGACCTCATACTTTCAATGACTTTCAACATGCAGCTGACGACTTTCATCATGCAGCTGACAACGTTCAACATGCAGCTGACGACTTTCATCATGCAGCTGACAACGTTCAACATGCTACTGATTAAGGCCGGATACACATCATATTGTGGTTGATCAGTATTCAGTAATCAGGACTTGATCGCAAGTTATTACCTCCGCTGGCTCAACGTCTCGGAGTGGAACGGCACTGTAACTTCCATTGGCATTTTCACAATTCAAGATGACCAGGCAGCCGGCTGCTGCTGACATGGGAGTTCGGCACAGCACACCTCTAACTTCGTCGATCAGAACAACACTCTGTGTCTTGGCTTCTATGGAAATGCATTCAAGATTATTCTTTGGTAATTGTCCCAAGGTATCTGTCTGGCGTATACTGTATAATTTGCAATGCATTCGAGGTACATGTTGCTTCAATGTACATTAAGCTAAAAATCTTCCAACATTAGATTTACAATGACATTTAGCTCAAAACTTATAAGTTTTAACTCAAAATAATTCATTAGTGCCTTCTTCGGAACATGCCTTAAATATTCAGCTACTCTCGTGACCTTCACAAAGTAAATTCAACAGAGAGCTGCCATTTTTAAATATATCATCTGTTAGTGGACACTGGAACGAGACTGAGCCCTGAGCGACCACCACTTAGCCTTTGCCAACGGGACACTTTCCCTACTTTTCAATCCAATACTTATCTAAAGTTATGAGATAATGGACAGTGAGAGTTCCCGTCGGTGCACAAGTGATTTAATATCTAAGTTCATGAGTGAAGGTGATATTCATCTGGCTTCCGATGAGAATATATCTCCTATCTTTACAAAAGGAAGTTAAGGAGTGAATGAAACCAACACGGAAAGGGTTAGAAGCGCTCGCTAGGATGGCGACGAAATGTCGAAATACAGGATTGAACCAATCAATATTGTCAGAAACTGGCATTAACACATTAATTTGAAACTGGTTCTATCTAGATAGGTAGACTTGAAACAGAAAACATTGACAGATCAACATTGAACTTCCTCTATTGACAAAAAGCATAGCAACAGACAATATTCTTGTATCTAAAATAAAGTGGAAAGTAATTGGCAGATGGATCAGAAACTGACATGGGTGAAACGAAAAATATAGATAGATATAAACATGTTTGATTGACTTGGAGAACTGTAAAGGATAAATCAATCAATTTTTATCAATTTGTATTAATAAAAAAAAACAAGACACGAATAATAGAAGCGATCGAAATGAAAGTAGTAGGTACATAAGTCAGATCTATGGATGAACAATATAAAAAGAAAAACTGTTACTAGATCAGCAAGAAACAGGAAAAAAGTAATGAATAAAGTAGAAACACAAACATTTTGAAGAATTAAATCAGAAACAGCGAACGGGAGCAAATACTATAAATTAAAAGCAGAAAATGACAGATGCATTGCAACACGACTTTTACATGACAGTAGAAGCTCAGGAGTGCAAACGCAGTAGCCGGAAGTAATCAGAAAAATATAAAGTATGAATTCTGACAGACAATATGTAAAGATTTGGATAATGAGAGACTACGATACGAACGTCATAAAGAGGTCAAGGCAACGCAGGCCGTGAGAACGACGCTGTCATCATCTTGTCATCGGCAGGATTTTATTTAGAAGCCGTGGGAGGTGGCGGGGAGCCATGATGCATCCTCGTCCGTCATGCGAGAAAATGTGTGCCGCGGGGTCATCGAGCGTCCTAGGAGAATCAGTTCTATATCCTATCTCAAACAGGTAGAAACATCAAGTTTTTTCCTTATTAATACGAACCTTGTGTCAGAATTCGATCTGTTATGGAGAAAGATTATAAATATCATTGGTGCAAATTCTAACGAATAATAATAATAGTCGACTTGGGAAATTTTCAGACTTATTTTAGGGATTGTTTTTTTTTGTCAATCATGAATTTGCTCGAACCAATTCTAATGCTAAAGTTAGCAGATTGGTAGGTTATTCATTCAATTCACTTCTAATAAATGATTAGAAGTGTGTGAGCAAACTTCACTAAAGTAACATTTTACATTTATTTTACCACTCCGGAAGCACAATGAAATCCTCTTTATCCCGACGTGAAGAGGAGATGGAGGAAGGAGCGCAGACGCTACATCATCAGTTCAGCTTCACTGAGTTTCATTTCAACGCAATTGTGACAACCGGAGGCCGGACGTCAGCCTTTCAGCCCAAGGTTTCATAGTGCGACGTGCGGAGGTAAAAGAAAAGATGTTTCTTATCCTTTCTTCAAAAGGCTCGTTAATATAAGCTATTAACCTGAATCTTACAAAAGGCGGTTCCATTTTGTTTGGCCTAAAATGCATGGGGAGCGCGATCTCAGAATCGTCTGCATTGGCGAATTCCAGCTCGAGTGATAACGTCTCAAACAAATTATTATCGCCCAATTTAGCCTAATTTAACTCTTAAAGATTTTCAATGCTCTAGAAGGGGGGAGTCCAAGTTTATCCAGAACAAATCCATGAGACAATATTGCCGAACACACTTGGGAAGATGTTTTTCCTTACGACGTGTTTGAACTGTGCGTTCAGTTTGGCGTTGCCGGTGTGAGCGCTGCCACTGTTTAGGCGGCTGCACTCCTCGAAGATGTAAACACGAGCCTCTCTACAACCTCTCTTGAAGTGAGTAAACTTTAAACTTTCTCGCACGTGATTCACCGAATAAATTTACAAAAGACTATAAAGAAGCTGGTGCTGAAAACTTAACGCAATTAACGCGTAAATTAAACATCGTGATTTTTATTTTAAATAGGAATGCCATAATCTGGACATGGCAATGGATACACACACCTGTCACGGGTGAGGACAGCAAAAAGAAAGAAGTTAGAAATTAGAGTAATTCTTCTCAGAAATTATGGAAGTTGAGAAACAACGTTGAGTAGAAAACGATCGAAAAATATTTGAGGGAACGATTTATTATTCATTGTATTACCTGGGAAGCAAGATACCAGTGAACATGAAATTCCAGGAAGTGATACTGAGATCTCTAATTATTAACTCTTTGAACTTAATGAGATTGGATGCAGGTTTCTCTTGCGAAGGTCAGGTGGAGTTCTGTGGCCGTGAATGCCACATAACCAATCATGCAGTTTACAGCTGATATCTTGTTTCTCTATAAAAACTATATTTTTGTCGTCATGACGCTTCCGTCCCCAGAAAATTCTTGTATTCACATGTGAACTGCCAGCTCAACGGCTAGGACGTAAGGTGGAATGCCTCAGAAATTGAAACCTCATAGTGTGATCTGATATCTCACTGGCATCTTAAACTCCTACAATACAGGGATCTCAGAGGGATTGTAAATATAACTTGTTTGTGATTTATGAACCTCAGTCACCTGCTGGGACTTTTTAACTAACCTGTAACTTATTAGGTTGGAGTATCGCGTAAATAGGCCACAGCGTGTTTATTCCTAATTAGATGCAGTGTCGTCTTCTGCAATTCGTTGTTGCTTAGTGAGAGTGGAGGCATTCATTCTCGGCCACTGGCCACATTGTTTGGAAATGATTGGTACTTTTTAAATTAGTCATTTATCAGCATTAGGTAAATCAAATTTGGCCAAGCCCCCCAAAATAAATTTGAAAAATTGTTGAGAGTTGAACCTAGAATTATTTAACTCTATCATTGAAAATTGAAATCAAGCGAGCGCCGGAAACGATCTTTGTATAAAATACGAGTATATAATACAAAATAGTCGATGGTAAAAAGCCTTTCCTCTCAAGATAAAGTGCTAATTATGCACACAAACTAATATAATAAAAATTGAGGAAAACCGAACATGCAAATAAAATTCCACCAAGAGCTTATCCTCCCAAGATAGAGTGCTAATTATGCACACAAAATAACATAATAAAAATTGAGTGAATAAAATTTCACCAAATAAGGGCATGTCAAACCAAAAAAGAGAAATGATTTATACCGAATAGGAAGTTCGAGCATTTGACGTCTCCATGCAGTTTGCT